GAATGAAGAATGGGAAAAATGGATTTTGACATTAAGTCAAATAGAGTTTAATGTTGAAGGAATTTAATTTTTATTTGATATTTGGTGCACAACAATTTGATTAAACGCTTGAAAAATCTTATTATCAGAATTTTCAAATTCTTGATTGTTCATTACTTTGGAATGACAAATTTAGATTAAAATTAAAAAAATAATAATAAATCGAAGATCTATTTTCGTTATTTATTTACGGAATTTTTTAAAATCGAAACATCGATATTTTATTTTATTTGCCAAATCACGTCGATGTTTTACAACGTTTCCGGGAAAAGATTAATAAAATCAATAAATAACGATATTAAACGAAATATTTTGTACAATTTTAATGAGACGAATCATTTTAATCGCGAAGGGTTAAATTTGCAATGTCTGTATAAAATTCGTCATTAGTCGATCCCTGGCTAGAACATTGTATGCCTGGTAAATTAGAGAACGCGCGAGAGAATTCTCGAGGCAACAATTTACCGCAACAACGGTTGTAAAATTCCGGTTGTAACGAAATTTCAGAGTCACCCCGTAACGGTAACGTTTCTCTGGCAGCAGGATGAATTTCGCGACGATGACGCTGGGCTTGGCCCCCACCATTTCTCCTTCTCGCGGGCTCATCCTCCTCGCGATTCGAACGTAGATACGGTGGGGGGAAAGAGGCGGATCGGTGGGCGTGGCCTGGCTCGAGACGAGAAAGATCGAAACTCTGCCGCGAGTTCGCGTCTCTCGTTAGTCTCCACTGAGACGTCGCACGGTGCAGTTGATACTCGTGTAATTCGGCGCTCGGTGCAAATTCCGATTTATTATATATTCTTGTGAAATCGCCCAATCGAGTCCATACCGTATTATTGCGAGAACGGAAGAGCAGTGCCAGCAAACTAGAAACGTGTCCCTAGATTGGATCGATTTTCGAAACGATTTTTGATTTTTTTTTTTTTTTTGCTCATTCGTTCCTCGAACAATACCTCGTGCAAAATGATGCACACTATGAGCGAACACACCGGTGGCACTGGAGGATTGGGCGTCAGCGTGCTCCCATTCGATGGGATGGGATTGTTCGAGCAACAACGGCCCAGATTTCTCTTCAAGATGCCTAAGGTGGTACCCAATCAGAAAGCCAAGTTCGAGACTGAGGAGTTATTTAGGAGGTTGAGTCGCGAGAGCGAGGTAAGAATTATTTTAAATAACGAATTTAAATTAAATTTTTTTTTTTTTTTTGATCTAGTTTTCGTTCTAGTCAAATGATATATATTTCATATATCTATATTAATTCGTTCAAGTAATTCGTACACATATAATAATCGTTTGTACGTATCGTTCTGTTTATAAATATCGTTTCGAAGCTATATTGTTCCACGATCGTTCGAAATATTTTTTTTTTTTTCTTCACCCATACGAATCACCGACATTAAACGAAACTTTCGAACGAAAGTTACGAGGAAAGGAATTTAATTCGGATTGAAGATTCGTGCGTTTGGAATGCTCGTTCCAATGGAATATCGTTTCTTCGAATTTCACGCGTCCCTCGTTCCGCTCGCGAAAATTAATTCGCGCCGTCGATTTCAATTCCTTCCGACGGATCGATCTCGATGGAATCGATCATCGTATTCATCACGCGTCGATCCATCCCAAATCAGGTCAAATTTTTTCCGCTGGAATTCGAAAATTGTAAAACATTTCTTTTTTTTTCTTTTCCCTCTCTAAACTTGCACAGGTCAGATACACCGGCTACCGAGATAGACCAGTCGAGGAACGCCAAGTGCGCTTTCAAAATGGTTGCCGGGAAGGTTATACGGAGATCGCGTTCGCCGCGACGGGCACCAATCTCCAGCTAGTTTTCGGCAACGCGTCCGGAAATTACGGCGGCGACATAAACGATTGCGATTTTGAGAAGGAGCGCGGCAAGGTAAGTGAAAAAAACATCCTTATATTTCTTCTAAAACAAATTTTCGATATTCACGAATTGTTGTTGACGATATTGCCTTTTAGTTATTCGATATCGTGAAAAATTCTGGATCCATAGTTCATTGAATCGAATGAATTTCTCGAAAATATTATACAGGAATTATAGAAATAACGCGGTTCGATCTGTGTTAACAATTAATCCAAGTTTAAATGATGGTTGTTTGTTTCACTCTAATTGGTGAATTGCGGTCGACAAATGAGGGAAGGGAGCTCGGACAGGATACGGTATACAGTTTTTCGTGTCCTTGGGCATCGTATGTCCAAGGGGTGTCGTTGGTGCTGGCGGGCGGACAATTTAGTATCCGTTTCTACCTCTCGAACAATGGTGTCACCGTGTCTCGGCGAAGAAGACATCGAGAGACATCCGGTCTCCCAAATTTTCTCTATCCCTGCGGGTGCTGAACGAGATTTACAGCGTAACGACAGCGCCTCTAGACCTTTAGGTCTTTATCATTTTTATTCTTTAGGGATCGAATCGAATCGAAATTAATTTAAAAACGAGTGCCTGGCAAAATTGAAAAATACTTTCGAGATTATTCGAGATATTTGTTTATTTTTTTTTTTTTT